TACTGTCCTCATGGAATTGTTTTTGATGACCATGTATGGCCCCAAAACACATCTTACAAGTCAGCAACCAACATTACTAATAAGGTCAACTACCAAATCCTCACCTCGCAGATGTGGGATATTACAATCCACCCCTTTTAAAGAACCCGATGACCTTGTTGGCACAACCAGATAGCCAGTGAGGCTAACTTTGATACCAAATGTCACAACCCAACCTAACTTGCTCAATATTATTCACTTTGGGCCTTAACACCCTCACTGATTTATTCTTGATGACCACGCATAGCCCTAAAACGTATCTTACAAGTCAACAACTATCATTACTAATAAGGTTAGCTACCAAATCCTTACTAGCTGATGTGGGATATTACATATTGGGTACAAATGACATGACATTTGTTAATGGTTAGTAACTAGGAATTTACATTGCTCAAATATCTACAAAGGCTAAACATATAAGTCAACTAACCTTGGGCTCTGTTTAAAGTTAATTTGAAATTATAACCCCTATTTTCATGCATGTATTGGGATATTCCTTCCCTCTTCAAAGATTTGTAGGGAAAGTTTTCAAATATTATAAATTAGGTCCAGATCAACTACACCTTAATGGGTGGATAATCTTACTCGCCTTTGATAAGTTTTTTATGCTTGTCAAAATTGAGCCTACAATCAACACTTTTACAACATGTTACCATCTATACATTGGCATCGATAGTGGCAATGACATGTTTTGTTCTTTACCTTCACCAACAGAGCCATATAAGCCTTAAAGATAACCTTGTAAGAAAAACATATGCATGTTAATAAATGAAGGGGATGGATAATTATAAGGTATACTGGGCCAATCATCCTTAGAGATAGGATGCAATAGATCTGGAGTTATTCCTATTATTGGAAGGCATCACCTCTCTTGTGAATAATGGGCCTCATCTAAACTTGAACGAGGAGAAAACATGTATTCTATTAGCATCGACCTCAATCAAGTACCATCAATAAAATGGTCAAAGGGTATTATCAGCCCATGTTGCAAAGTATATATCTTTATTTTTTTATATTTTATGCATTTAAATTCATTATTGACTTTGTTTTTGTATGGGATTAATAGTCAAAGGAAAAGGAGAAACTTCGATAAAGTCTATAAAGGAGATTTCAAAAAAGAGTTCTTTATCTCTTGACTTAACTAGATACAAGACTAAAAAAGACATAGAGGACAAGCCCATCATTATAGATGAACTCTATGTTTCTAAGGACATTATTCATGAGAAAACAATGGCAAGATCCAAAACTCTAATAAAAAAGAAAGGTAGGGTTAAGTATAACTGATTTTCTCTAAAGTAATCATGGGCATTGTTGCCTATTTTAAGAGAAAAAAGATCTTCACCTCGATGGAGACTGGTATTGCATCCTCGCCTATAGAGGCTTATTTGACAACAATTCATTTGTCTTTACCCTTAATGTTCCATACAGAGGTAATAATTATTGGGCTCTGTACTTGGAAAATTCTTAAGGATACTAAACAAAGATTTGATGATGTTTTTGCTAGCCTTCTTCTTGGTCAAACTCCTTTTAATTTCCCTACTCGGGCTGAGAAAGTGAGACAAGTCATGAAAGCTGTTGTTAGTGGAAGGTTTGGCCTTGGAAAGGCTAACCTCAAAGTGGTGAGGAAGTTGAAAAGGATTCTCATCATTTCTTTAGACATCTTGATTATTTCTAATAAGAACTACAACCGTCATTTGACCCTTATAGGATTAATGACTTTTAACACAAGGAACTCCCTTGTTTGAACTTTTTAATGTGGTTTTAAAATTATTGTTCTTAACAATCTTGTCTTTGATAAATTTTATGGTGTGCACCTATTCTAAGAGATATTAAATTATATAAAAAAAACCATATAATGAAGGTCATTGCCAAACAAAGAGTAGAGAAATAAATAAGATGAATGACCAGACTGCCCTCTAATAACTAAAGAAAGATAAAGTTATTGTGGAAGCTAAACTGAGAAACCTTAAGGTAGCTTATGACTCATTGAAAGAGAGTCTCTAAGGTGTTGTCTTTTAGTTGGGCTCCACTGAAAAATAGCTTTAGGTGACTTATAATGAATTTGATGCTATGAAACAAGAGATTCTTAAGGCAAAGGTCACTTAACATAGTATAAGGGCTAAGCTCTTTACCACCAAGAAAGAAGTTTAGTGCTCTTTGGTGTGACTAAACACTCTAAGAAATTCTCCTAGAAAGTTTCAAGAATTTTTTAGAGGGTCTACAACTTTGTCTGAAATAATTAGTGACAAGCTTTTTCTTGTCATGTCTACATTTTCACCACGTTAAATTGTTACAATATTTGTTTGATTGATTTGTGAATGCATATATAATCTTACCGTTGCTGGTAAATCACCATCGGGCATGTTTATTTTCTTTAAGTTTCATAATGCATTTATATATTTGTCAATTGTCATAAAAAAATATACTTTTTCCACATAGTCATTATTTATATAAATAAAATTCTAATTACTTTTTCATATTTGTTTTTCTTTTTTTGAAAGTACACAAGTATATGTAAAAGTAGAAAAGAAAACAAGATTGATTGTTTTTATATATCATAATTTTAAATATTGTATTATGCCAAAATGGATGAAGAATCCAATAACAAAACTTATATCAATCACATTGTTTGTTGAAAAAAGTTGAATTTATATTCATCTTGATAAAGACTGACTTTGAACATAGGCAATCTAAATGTTCATGTCTTAAACTAATTTATGCAAAGATTAATGGTAATATTATATACATTGAGAATTGACATTGGATACAATAAAGACTTAATCGGGAAAAGTTTTGTTGAAGGTGTATTGTACATAACAATTCTTGATGGGAAACCAGCATATCCCTCTTTTTTTCAAGAAATAACCACAAGTATCTTTTTTTCCTTTTCTTTTATTTTGCTATTAAAATTTATCCTTAAATTATTTTCTCAGTAGTGTTGACTATGTTGATAAGGTCAAATAAGCTACCTTTTTTTTCCCAATCAAGGTGGTTATAAATTAACAACATGCAGTTAAGAGGGCATTTGCCAGCTTGATTCTAAAAAAGAGCTTGTCAATCCTTGCTTATTAGGGCTCCTTTTCAAATAATTCAAATCAACTTAATTCTATTTTATTCAACAAACAGGTGATTATGTACAATAAAAATCTCGTTATTAAATGGGTGCAACCCCTCTTTGCAACTGATTTAATTCATATAATTGAGTGTTAGTTCATAGGTTTTTAATCTTGCGTCCTCCCGCTGCATAAAGAATGAGAAACATAACCTATTTGATGAAACAATATCCTATTAAAAAAGAGTGCTTGTCATTAAAATTGTCAAAAATAATTTTTTAATACAACATAAAAAATACAATATAAACTCAGAATGTAAACTTGAATCGTAAAATTAGAAGTAATTTTTTTAACAAATTATATATTGATAATTCTAGCCAAGAAATTAATTTATATTAAAATCTGATAAAATAAATTAGCAATATTATAATCAATGAATGATCTAAATAAAATGAAAAAGATAAATAGTATGAATTAATAAATTAATGACATGGAGAAATAAAAAGTCTCAAAATAAAATTTATCAATACAGGAGAATTACTAAAATGTAGGAAGCACACATAAATCCAATGACAACCTGATTATTCTCATCACAATAAGTCTTGATAGACTCATTTTGGTTGCAAGCTAATGAGTTTAAATTAGTAATTAATTAACATAAATTCAATAATAAAATAAACTCATAAACAACGTCTAATGCATTAGAAAAAATTCAAAATAAAAATAATTACTTAAAATAAATAAATAAAATAATAATAAAAATCTTCATGTTAAATTCCTCCATATATCTTGAATCTCTAATTTTTGTATATTCTTGGCATATTTGAATCCTGATTTTAATCATTTCATTCTCTTCTAATTTCAAACATGTCATTCTCTCTCATTTGAATAAATTATTGAGTTTACGATATATAATTGAGAAGTTGTAGATATCTAGTTTATATCTCAACTTTAATCGAAGCAAAATTTCACTATTAGCTTTAAATATGTCCTAAATAATATATGAAGGTCTTGTTTGATATATTTAATAATATTAGTTCGCTCTTGTTTGATATATTTAATAATATTAGTTTGCTAACTTTGACCCTCTAAAATATTATGTTTCCTAACTCCATTTGATCTAAAAATTTATCATAATATATTTTCATATATCTTATTCAGTATACAATTTAAAAGAAATGTTCAATTTTGTAAAATTAGTTAGCAAATATTTTAACGCTAAATTTAGACCCAACTTGGTCATATCATAAAATCAATAAATTCGTAAAATCAAACCGAGTTTATCACTTTTACTGATTTTATATGAGTTAAATCTAATTTAATAATATTAGATAAATATAAATCATAAAATTTTATAAGTTAACTTGTCACCTTGCTTGCCACTTCTCTTGTGTGATTTTCAACTTGGTAGTTTTTAAAAGCTGCATAACGATGTCAAATACTTTCTTCATGCACTCTCTAAAGAGGCCTCTAATAGACACTCACTCCTACGCAGGAGATGCCACACTGACTGCTCTACCAGATAGGATTAAGGAAAGAACGATTATGGTAGAAAAGACTCCTGAGAGCTCGGCTATGGAGCAATTCTTCGACTAGGGAAATGGGAGAAAGACCTCTCTTTCCTTAACAAGGCAGGAAGAGCAAAATTGTAATCATAATTAAATCATTTTCAAAAACAATCAAAGAAAGCGAGACACGGAAAGATTCAAGTTTCTATAGTTGTTCCTGATAATCAAGCAAAATATTTAATTCATTGAAAACCAAAAATGAGAAGCATATGCATATGACAAACAGGGAGATAACAAAATTTTGTATATGTAGCAGCAATTAACATTACCACTGGGATTAAATTATGAACGACTCCTATCCTTCAGCTCAAGAGAGAATATTAAAATGATTAGACCATGCTAAATTATGAACTAAATAAAAGAAAAGAAAAACAATATACTATATGTAGCATAACCTAATAGTTCAACATCATCCAACCAGATGAAAAGGAATAGACAAAGAAAGAAAAGAATCAAGAAGTTTTTAAGCAAAACATGGAACTGGGCGAACAAGCTTCATCTATTCAGCCCGCAAGATCCATGGAATGCTTTTTAACCTGTGTTAGTTAAAGGTATACACATTTTCCAAGCGCCACCATCTCATCTGTTTGCTAATCTACAAGCACTGTTCGTGTATCCTGGCTCGGTTCTCCTCCCACCACAACTTTTCACGCGTTTCTCCAAGCGCCACCATCTCGTCTGTGCAAGTACTGTTCGTTTATCCTGGCTCGGTTCTCCTCCCACCACAACCTTGCACGTGTTTCTCCAAATGTTTCTCGGCTGCATCAAGAATATAAGAAAAAAACACATCCATTACACATAATTTTGATCATTAATTTAAGCAAAAAGTAAATATCAATGCCTATGTTGTTGTTTTGTATATGGATAATGGAAAATTGGAAATGTACAACCCTGCCCATTTAACAGTATGTTATCAGTCAGAACAGTTTCATCACAAATCTCAAGCCCAAAATTCGCCTTGGTTTCTAGATCATCCATGACAAATCATTATGGCTCCATGGCAATTCTTTGCGGGCAACTAAGATTATCTAGACCACCATGATAGATGGCATGAGCTTATGGTGCAAGAAGGGATTTGGCTCATTCCTTGACTGGACCTGAGAGGTTCAAACTATATTTTATAGCTCCAAAAATCTTCTAAAATCTAATTATAAGCTCCATCTACCGTGAATTGCCATGTTTAGCTGTTGTTCTAACCCAGCAAAAGCAGGTGCTAGACAAGTCACCTCCATCAGCAAACATCTCGATCAGTTTATTTGTCCAAACAACTAAAATCATGAGCAGTTTCAATTCCATCTTTCTCTAAATTATTCAGACCCACTAACCTGAACCTGACACGTCTAAGCTCCCTGGTGCCACCTGGCAGTGCTCCGATAGTGATGTATACCCCTGGTTCATCCTGTTCAATCCATTCAGTCTCCATATCACTTGCATTACTGATGGAAAGTTCTTCTGAGCGATCTGACTCTCTTGACATGCTAGTCCTCACAGAACCATCTATTGATGATGTCTCAGTTTTAGCCCCAGCAATGCTAGAGAGCTTTGGTGTTGAAGCAAGACCAGCCGACTCATAATATTGGTGAGGTTGCATTGGGTGGTGGTCAAGTGAATCTGATGACGAATAACCCATTCTTGTTGGATGGTGGAAATTGTTTGGGCGTTCTTTGCCCAGTGGAGTCGTGGGACTGTCTTTGGCTGATTCAGGCTTTGAGCTCTGCAAAAGGAGACAGGTAAAGTTAAACAATAAAACTAGCTCTATTATCAATGCCAGTTTTGTGAAGTACAATGAAGTAACTCTGTGCTCTAAAAAACACCGACATCCTGTATTACATTAAATCATTCAAAACCTAAAAGAGAATTAAGGACTTTAACAGTGCTCTTCAACAGTCTAACAAGATTCATGCTGCTTACAATAGAGAAGAAAATTATTCATTCCAAGCAAATCGGAGCAAGCATTTCCTATCCCTAACCAAATGTTGCTAAATTTCAAAATTTAATTCACACTCACCTCATCTTCAGATCTTGGTGGAGTTTGAAGTGGGACTGATTGGTGATTGAACTGTTGAACATTGTATAATTCCATGACCTTGTCATAGTTCTCAGCCCACCATCTTTGAGCTTGCCATTTATTGAACATTTCACGACTGATCAAAACATCAAAATGTTAAAATGATGATAAAGGACCTGTCAACATCTATAAAACCCAAGCAAAATGTTGGAGAAGGACAAGTCATCCAGTTTTTTCTGGTATTAAAACTTTAAGGCAGTTGGTTATTGATGGTTACTCATCTAACAGATTCGCACTGCTATCATATGAGGGAAGCTAGTTTATCTTGATAGCAAGACACTCAACCATTGAAGGAAAGGCTTGACGGAGGAAAGGAAATGCGGTAACATCATATATCATTACTTATAAAGAAAACAACAACTAAAATCATGAACAATTGAGAACATCACAGACATGAAATGTTGCATAACTCTAATCAGGTTGGCATGAAACATGAATCTTGTTGTAGGTGAACAACACTGTATATACTAAGAAACCCAATTAAAGAAACACCAAGGAAAACAAAATCAACATAAAAGTAGCATCGCTTTCATTACAAGAAACAGATGGGTTATTACTCATTTCATTCAACATTTCAAACTACAAGTAAACTAGTGTAAATTCAGATTGAGATTAAGTGAGATAATTTCTGGCACAAACACACTGCAGCGGCTCTTTATCTTATAAATAAGTAATTTGGCCACAGATTTCTGAGCAAAGCATTCTCAAGATCAAGAACCGCACAAGCCAGGTTCATGAAACATGAAAATACTTTTAAGTGCCAAGGTATATTATACAGCTGTAATTTGCACGTGCATGAATAACATTGTATTTGTCTATATGTAACAATGACAATCTGCTAATTTGACACTCACTGATCATAAGAGGATTAGAGAAGGTTCTTGTTGTGTTTCAATTGCCAAAGAAATTATAGCTTAAGCAAAGAACCAACCAAAAAGAGTGAAAGAAATGAAATATTTCCTTCTTTAGTGGGAAATTTTTCTTATTCAAGCCTTCTAGAGCTGTAAGCAATATTCCTCATCAACTCTTAATTGTTGGATAGAGGGTGATCACTAAACTAACCCATCAAAACATCTTCTCCAGAAAATATACAAGTTAAAACACGAACATTGCTCATAACTCTTCAAAGTTCTCATTTTCCCTTTTCTTTTCTCGTTGCAAGATAGGAGATTATGAATGATTCCAAGTGCAGATAGTGAAGTATAAGCTGTTCTTGATTCCAAAAGACAATAAGAAGAAGCGGGCAAGCAAAGTATAATGCATCTACCGTGTAATTGTGTTGTGGATGGTTATTTTCTTTAGGCAATGCAATTTTCCCAGTGTAATACATTCAGGACATAGAACATAGTGGGCACCCATACCCACGTGCACATAGACACGTCTTTGGACATTATTCTGCACTTGAACTCACCCATCAGTTTCCCTACATTTTCTACTGTTATGGTACAGCTGACTCAAAAGTTTCTGTCCTCTGCAGCTTTCCGATACCGTTCAGGATGACAAAGCTGTGATAAATGCCCAATTCAGCATCAAGAGCCATCTAACAACAACCCAACCCCCCCCCGCCCCACCCCCCCCCCAAAAAAAAAGAAAAAAAACACACACACACACAGAGCAAGAAAACATATGATTGCATTGATAAAAGAAGAACAATTAGTACCTGAATCGAATTCGCTTCAGATTATTAACGCCATCAGGCAATGAAACAAAAGTGATGAGCACACCAGGCTCAACTTGTGCAACCCACTCCTTAGGCCCATCTTCCTCCATAAAAACCACCGACTCCGTCCGCCCACTAACTGAAGCAGGTGTGCCTTCGCCACTCGATACCCCTTTTAGTCTTGCCTCCGCCTCTTTCCCCCACTTCCTCGGAGTCGAATTGGAACTTCCTGCTCTACGATACAAGCAGTGGAACCTCGCTGAGTCTGAGGCAGCATCAGACTCAGCATAGTTCCTGTTATTGTTATTGCTCGAAGATCGTGAACATGGCTTGCAGTTTCTATATGCTCCTGAGGCCTTTACAGCCATGTCCTTTATCTATAACAACAACACCATCAACCCTTTATCACTTTGCAATAAAACAGAGACAAAAAAACACTAACACGGTGTTTTTTAGGAGGGATTGATTGTATTTTTCTTTTGACAACAAATATAAGGATTGGATACATCCTTATACTTTCATTTGTTTATAATTTTCAATGCTTTCAATTTGGATAGATTGACTCTTACTCTTCCCCTTTGTTAAATTAAAAACTAGAGGAATGGTAAACCATCCATCCTTTTTCTTCCCTTCCCCTTCTCCCATTCCATCCTTCCTGACAAACAGACCCAAACCCGGCTCAATTCTATTCATCCACCTTCTGTCCCAGAAATCTAGAAAAATGAATTCAAGAAAAGCCATATTGTGCTCATGGTTCCAATCTTGATTCAATCAAGCACTATAACTTCTTTTTTTCAAAAATAAATTTGAAAGAAGTACTGCTGGTGACATACGGCAGTAATATTAGACCCATATCACACAGTGACTAATTCCAGTTCTTCTTTCACCGTTTTGGTTTCAGCTCAAGCAGTCTCCAAGGGCCTGGTCGAAAACCTAGGCCCGAGTAGAACGAAAAGAAAAGATCGGAGTAGTTCACAGGAAAAGCGAGGACCGAAAATGCCTACTCCCCTGGTAGGGCTATGCAAAGCAATCACCCAAGACAACAACAAAGATAGCTGAACAAGACCATGCGGATAAAAGAAAGGTTGTGTGATTAGATTTTCACTTGATCTGGAAGACCAGTCTAAGAGACTGGCCTTTCTTAGTTACCCTCACCAGAAAGAGAGGGGGATCCAGGGGGATCCAGGGGAAGTCGAAAGACAACTTACAGGCTTTCCTCAAAGCTCACAGCTAGTCCTCCTCTTTTAATATAATTCCTAAGGAGGCGGATTAAAAGGTGAGGAATAACAAGGTCAACCTAAGCTTAGTCGAATTATTACCCTCCTCCAAAGGACAGGGAAAGAAGAAATAAAGGCAAAGAAGATTTTGGGTTCTGCGGAAACTAGACAAAAACAAAAAAACAAAAGAACAATCATTGGTTTTTTTTTTTTTTTGTATTTTCACTCAACCTATAAATTAAAAGTTGAAAAAGAAAATGAAACATAACCCCTCAAATCCAGCTTGTTAAAACAAGAAGTATAATTCATCTTTTTCCTTACTACATGCTTCGGTGCTTTCTGGGCTTTAGCTCCAAAAAAAATGAAAATAAAATTTAAATCCTTGACCCTACTACAGCAACTCAAGAGAAGATAGAAAGGTGAATGAAGCAGAGCATGCATACTTGAGCTGTGAGTGCCTTCATGGCGTGCTTAGTCTTAAGCGTCTCAAAAGCAGCAACATCAACATCCTCTTCTCTGTCTCTCGGCGGCGAATATCGGTTATTTAGTCGCTTTGAACACGCAATACAAGTCAACATCCTCTCCCGGTTTCTCTATACCTACAACCCAATAACACAGATCAGTGGCGCTTGTGCATAAGAAAACAAAATGAGCTCCATATTCCATCCATAATCAATGCTTACAAGGAGAAAAGGGAGCGGTTGAGTTGCAGATGGGGTTCGGTCTATTTGAGAACCCACGGATTGTCTTGATGGCTATATTTAATTGGCAACATAAATGTCAGGAAAGAGAGAGGAGAAGTGACCGTTAACGGAGGAATGAGAGGGTGGCTTTGAAGCTATTCGTTAAAAATCATTATAATAAATATAAAGAGAAAAGGGGCTCCTTTCTTTAAAAATACTTACTCTTCACAGCACCACACTGCCAGTTAGAATGAGTAACAGCTAAGAAATACCAAGAAAGAAAAAACAACACCCTCTCTCCCTCTCTCTCCCCCCTTCACACAAGAAAAGCCAAAGGCCAAAAAGCATATTCTCTTCTCTTGAACGTGCAAGTGGGTAATCCGAGGAGCTGAGAGTTGAAAAGGTAAAAAATGACACTGTTGTTTTGATTCCGGGAGACTTTAGACGCGGTCAGGGAATCAGTGTGTTGGAGACGCAAGGGGAGACGGCGTGTGTAAGTGGACGCGTCCATGGATGGGCGCGAGCTTTTGCTTTTGTGCGTTATATTCGTTTAGGTTTTTGGATGTTTCGTTTCTTTTTCTGTTTTACCGCTTGTAAAGAGCTGTGTGTAGCTATTAATTTTTATAAAGTTGTTATTTAAAAGTATTTTAAAATAATATTCTTTTACTTTTTAAAACAATGATTTAAAATTATTAAAAAATTAATTTAAAATTTAAATTTAAAAATAAACTTTTAAAATATAAATTAAAAAATTAATTTAAAATTTAAAATTTAAATTTAAAAAAAAACTTTTAAAATATAAAAAAAAAAACATAATTTTTGTTTGTTCAGGTTCAACACACTAAGAAGAGAGACATTATTTTATGAAAAATTAAAAAATTATATAAAATTAATTTTTTATATTTTTTGAATTTTTTATATTTTAATATAATGATATTAAAAATTATTTTAATATATTTTTAAATAAAAAGATACTTTAAAATACAATTATACCATTCTTATAAATATCCCTCAAAAGTAAAAGTTAAAAAAAAAAGACATATGCCTCTCCTCTATTTTAGTAGTACTTTGGCGATTCCATTTTATCCAATCCTTTTTACTTTTCAGCTTTGTCTGTTTAGCTTCCGATCTTCACTTTCAAGGCTACCACGGGCACGGTAGATTAAAGTTATACCACCGTGTTCAGCACCGTGTTGAACCCCTTTATGAAAGATTTTGCAATAAAATAAAACAATAAACTTAGTATACATTTCTGGCATATAAATCAAAATTTGTATGTAAACTAATTCTAACATGCATGCTATCATTTATAATGACAATTATAAAATTAATTTAAAACCAAAGTATATCTATGCTACTTATTTATTGAAAAAACTTATAATCAATATAGTTTAGTAACATATTGTTGTCAATTATCCATTTTTTATCCTTTAAGTTTAAGTTTTATTGCATCTCTCTTAGTGCAAAGAAATGATGTCAACAAACCTCTCATTATTCTAATAACACTATCTTGATTAATTGCACTACTTATAAAGGTAGATAAATAATAGGAAAGAAAAACTCAGTCTCTTTAAGAAGGATTAAGACTTAGAGAATGTTTGTTTGTGCGGTAGCTTCTGCATTTAAAGCTCGTCTTGTAAATAAAACGTTTGGTAATATAAAAAAAAGCAAGTTTTTATTTAATAGGTCCCATAAATTTTTCCATCAAACCAGAACTTTACAAAAGCAATTGGGAGCTGCTTCTCTCCACCTGCTTCTATTTATTTACATGGGGGCACTGTTCATAACAGCGTCCAAGCCATGCCAGATGAATTTATAATTCCCCTGCAATGCAAGAACCATTCACCTGGCACTGTTCATATGAACAGTGCCAGGTGAAATTTTTTGACACTATTCATGTGAGTAAAATTTATTGGACCACGTCCAACCCCATAAAAAAAAATTAAATTTTTTGAAAATTATGTTTTACTCAAAAAAGCTAATGTTTAATATTATTTAATAACACTAAATAAATTAAAAGAACATCGCATGATGACGTAGTATTTGTAGAAGTTAATCATTAAGCTCTATCATGGAGAGAGGGAAGCAAGAAAAACAGGAAAAAAAATAACAAAAAATAAGACTTGAGAACTATTGGAAAAAAATATACAGAACCTCTCACATTCAAACCCTATTTATACTAATTTTTATAATCAAAATTGATGCAAAATTAAAATTAATTCCTGATATTTTGCCTTCTTTACCTTCATAAAAAATAATAAAATTCCAACTATTTTTTGCCTTAAAAACTAGACATTTTATCTTTAAAAATAAATTATTCATTAGAAAGAAGAGTATTCAAATTCTTTATTAGTGGATTGTGTGTGTGTGTGTGTGTGTGTGCACGTGTGCGTGTGGACTGATAAAAATAATTTTTTTTATGGGTCAAAGAATTATTTTATAACAAACCAAAATCCAAGCTTATAATAGGTTAGTACAAAACAAACACAAATTAAAGCTCGAGACTCATGGCCTAAGCTTGAGAGAAGTCGAGCTGAACACGTGCATATGGTTAAATCCATACTACTTTGCATAGGTATATTTATAACCCTTAAACTTCTTTCTATATAAACTAAATGACAATCTTATATTTTTTCTATATAGGATTGAGGGTTTTTAGTTACACAAAAAATAAAACTAAGAGTTGATTGAAATCAATTTCTCATTATATATTTGTAGTTGATAAGTTGGTGTATGTCATGGTTTATACAATGTCGAATATAACTCATATTATTAGTATGGTCAGTTGGTTCCTCACTAATCCTAGTAAAGAAAACCAGTTAATAGTGAAATAGATACTCAGTCTTAAAGGTACTTTCAATTTTAGTTAATAGTAAAATTAATACATAGATGCAACTAGGGTGGGTGATGTTAATTCTATAAAGTCTATAGCGAGACATATAATTACCTTACAATGGGAGTGGTGGTTTTATGGGAATCAAAGTTGCAAAAATATATTGTATTACCAATATAAAAGTTAAATACATTACTCATTATGAAGAGAAAAAAAGAGTTGTTATGAATGAAAAAGTTCTCACATGAACTTGGCATAGTGTAAAAAAACTTTGCGTTACACTATGACAATTCATCGTAGTAAACATTGTACTTATCATTCTCAATTAAAACACATTGAGGTTAGATATCACTAGATTCGAGATGATATGGAGACAAAATTCTTTATTGTTAAGAAGATTCATATCGATGACAATGTATCAGATATAATGGTCAAACTTTTACCGAGAGAGAAATTTGAATTTTGTAAAAGGCAAACAAGCTTGGTGAAACCTCTTAAATGAGTTAGAAAGGGAAGAATCATTAGGTTTAGTCCTTGTTTTTTTGGACCATAGCCCGTATAAAGTAAGAAAAAAATGCTTAAAACATTTTAGGTTATATAGACAACTATGTATAAAAATCAAATTTGATTTATTTTCAAAGTGTAAGCTGATATCTACAAAAAAAAAAGAAGGAGAGCTTCTAGCTAAGAAGTGGGAGAGAGTGAAGAAAAACTGTTATTTATTTATTTGCCTTAATCAGCTGGTGATTTGTTATCCAATTAAGATGAGATTTTGATATGTTATTATTGACAACAAGCTCTTCAGCTTAGATAGTGTTGATCACTAAAAAGCTTTCACTTTTAGATATTTTTCAAAAGACTTAATTAGTGAGATCTATCCCATTTACACTCATTGACAACAAACAAACTTTTAGAAACTAAAATGTTGGAAAGATAAGAGAGACAACTACTTAAGCTAAAAAACTATTCCACATATATCTTTTAATTTTTTTATGTGCAACAAGAGTCATTCCCCTACCAATTTTAGGTTTTTAACAAGCATATCCAAATGTTCTACACTCAATCAACTCTAAAGTTCAAAGTAGTACAATATAGAAGTTTGGACATCTGGCAATTTTCTGTTATCCTAGGTCGAAGGGTTTCATCATGAATTTAGTACCATAAAAGTTCTCTTTAACCTATTCCCTTCAGATAAAATGCTTCTCACCGATTCTATAATTATATCCCCTTCAGATAAAATGCTTCTCACCCATTCTATAATTATATTATTACCGACCTCATTCAACCTATAATCTTACTTAATAGTGAACACTAATGTAATGATGGATAATTTACTGTGATTTTTCACCCATCTCATATTGGTTCGTCGAAGTCTTTCAAAAGATCAAAAAACTCGATCGTGTCTGTATTTGATTCTTCATCTACGATTGGATATTCACCTATATAATCATGGTTCACTCTCATTGCACCTATAAACATGTTCTTATAAGGATTACTATTGTCATCTACAACTTCATACACATTACTAGAACTAGCAGTTGACCCAACCATCCTTTCTAATATGGTCTTATTAAAAACATATAATTCTTCATGTGCAAATAAACATAAATATTTCTCTATGACCCTTTTAGTAAAAGATGCATTATTACAACATCTAAATCGAGAAACTGTTTATTCTTACACTTCTTATATGGACATTTAATACAACTTCCACTAATATTTCTTCGATTAAACAGTACATAATTAATAAAAACCCTCAACCCTATTATAATAATCCATCATATATAACCTTTTGGGTGAATCTTGATACATTTATGAATGATCATCAATTACTTATATTAAACCTATATAGAATATTGATGACAACATATATTAATTAATTATGTAACATAAATAAATTATATAACATTGGTTTAACTCAAACTTATTCAATCTATTTTAGTAGTACTCTTAAATCATTATTAATTATCTACATAAATTCAAATCTCTATACATTTACCAAAATTTTCAACTCAACAATAAAATTGACAAAATATAAAACAGATCTATTAAATAATTTATTATTTATTTCATTACATAACATATAAGTCATAAAATCAAAATCAATTTCATCAAATTAAAAATAAATACAAGTTTTTAAAATCTCAAACATACTCTAATATGTACAAATCATGAAATCAATTTCATCAAATTAAAAACAAATACAAGTTTTTAAAATCTCAAACATATTCTAATATGTACAAATCATACATTCATACAATAATTGTATATAAAAAAACCTATAAAATAAGCAAACACAAACAAACTAAATATATACTAAAAAAATATGCAATAAAAATTAACATTTTAAAATATAGTTCAAACAAAAAATAGATAGTTTTCCTTACTTGATATGGAGAATCCTAAAAAGTATTTGAATCAAAACAGAGATACTGACAGACTGAGTGTTAAAGTGACTAAATTTATGATGGGAGGTTGATTTTGTGATAAAATAAAAAGTTTCTACTATGTTGTAAAGCTAATGAAGGAGGAGGAAGAAATAGAAAAGAGGGAGAGGGGTTGCTCGCTAGGTCATAACTTAAATTCATTTTATCGGTAATTTTGTCTATATAAATGATATTTTATTGTACTTTTTGACTTTTTTT